TAGATCGCGTGACCCGCAGTCTGCCGAAGAAACTGCCGTTTGACTCGAACTATGACTCATGTGGGTTACCATCAAGAGCCAAGAGGCTACTATAAGGTCTGGCCCGAATTAACCTCAATTCTCGTTGATTGAATACCATTATAAAAGTGTGCAGCAGAAATCGAAATACATGCGTGGTACGAATATCGTTTGTAATTTATTATAATTTTATAATCTCGGTACTCGAACGTCTGTTAATTTGTATGTGCTCGGGACGGACTATGTCATTTTTGCATTCATTGTCGTACACCGCAAGTGATTTTAGAAAACAAATCGTTTTTTTCTCTTACGTCGAAAATAGTGCAGCTTTGCAGAAAACTTGATGATTGCATTTTAAGAATTTCACATGTCAACCTGTTATATTTCCGTCGCACGGGAAATAATTATTACAACGCTCAAAGGTGATTGTTGTTTTATTAAGTACGAAAAATGCATGCACAAATATTTCTAAGAAGCTTAACAATTCCTCGCAAAGTAAAGTCATATTGGTATATTGATGTTATACCTGCGCAGTCCTCTGGATTGCAAATACACCCACATAATCGTAATATTATATCGTATTCCATTTAAAATTTTTTAAATTCACCATTGTCTGCTGCGTTCAAAATATTGTAATATAATGACGAGATAGTGGTGTTGACAATTTCGAAATTTTCAAAATGACTCGTCTCTGTCGTCGCGCTAATTATATTTTCGGAGAAACGGTTATTAATGGAGTCGAATTAATTCCCCCTGCCGACGATGACGAAACGACGATGCTGTGGGTAGGTGGTGAAATGATAAATATATAAAATTACATTAAGCCGGTACCAAAACATAAACGGTGTTTATATATTCAAAAATTGTGTCTCCCAAAGATCTTGAGCGTCTAAAAACGGTGATATCATAGTCAAATCGCATTTGTATATGATAAGAAAAAAAATATTGATATTTACGAATAGTGTTGGTCACAAAAAAAAAATAAATTCGGTTGGAACCGGGAAAACTGTCCCTTCGTGTCGCCGTGGTCTGGGGAGCAGTATCATTATTCATCGTCCGTATAATAATATAAATACTATATACACGAGGCAAATCATTTGACGACCATCATGTGTGAGTACTAAGTACTTGTATACCATAATAATAATATTATTTAAGCGCGTCCGACACGGCGGTACAGCGCGGTATCGTCCCGTCGGCCGTGCACGGTAGACGACGCACCCGCTCCGACGCCCCGCGTGACAACGACGACGGAGATAATCCTGCGCGCAAAGACGCAGCGACGGCGACGACAAGAAAGAGGAGCCACACCATTAATACCGCCGCCGCGTGTGTATTCATATAGAAGCCGTTTAAAACCCTGTGCGGATCGATAGCGTTTTACAACAAAAAACCTCCCCCGCTCATCGTCGTCGTCCCTCCGCCGGTCGTGCTCTGCAGTGCGCGCGGCACCGCCGTTCGCGTCCTGGTCCAGGGGTGAGTCCCTCGTTGGGTGGGCGGAGGGGGATTCCGAGTAAACGGCGGACCCGGTGGTAGGGATCGGAGGGCGGTAAGGTAGTCGCCTAAAGGGATTGCCCGTCCGTCCATCCGACGATGCGGAAAAACGGGAACGCGTCGGCTGAGCAGAGTACTCTCTCATTCTATCTCTCTCTTTTTCTCTGCGTGTGCATGCCCGTCTCTGTATATCTCCGCCCGCAACCGCTGTTTTCTCTTCTGCCTCTCTCTCTGTCTATCTCTTTCTCTCTCTCTCCGCCATCTCGTCAAAGGGTATTTGTACGTAGTGTGTGTGTGTGTAGTTTAGAGTGTAAAGCTCGCTTGCCCCACCACCTTCGCCTCTTCCTCGTCAATGGAAAGACTGTGCAATGTGGGAGGACAGTACGGCGGCGACACTTTTCCGACAGTAAAACCATCGGACCGTGTTTATCAAAGGCCATATAAGCGCTTTAATACCGCCGCGCCGCCCAAGTTAAAGCGGACGGTCAGCGTCAGCGGACAAAGCATATACGACGGCGGCGCGTTACCATGACGATAAAAGGACCCCGGAAATGTCCAGCGATTATTATTATTATTATTATTATTATTATAGCGAGAGAGAAATTGAGAGAGAGAATTGGTTAGAGGGAGTGCAGGCAGACGAACAGGAAAGGAACCGTCGTCGTGTCCGAAATAGGACCAAAAAATATATAAATAACGTAAATACGCCGTTTATGTGTGTGTGGGAAGTCGAATGTTTACAGCGGGGAATAACGCCAGCACTTGCGTCCCTCCTGTGGCCGTCATCGCCCGGTGTCGGTGGGCAGAAAGTCGTCGTTCATTCTTCCTTCGGAGTACTAACTGTCGACTTAGCCGTTTGTTCTTATCCGATCAGACGATATTATCAATAATTAAACGACCACATCATTGGTGTCATCCGTCTCGACCCACATTTCTTACGATTAATTATTGTCGCGTCGTTATATTAATTAACGTCGACGACTAGGCGGTGGTTTTCCAAGTTTATCGCCATCGTTTTTACACAATAAATAATAATATTATGTCTACCAAGTGGGCCCTTGTAGAGTATGAACATTATTCACATATTATATACATAATTATATAATAACTAATAACGGATTCAACCGGGACTGGTTTCAATACCGCATCCTTCTACGGATCTATAAGCAAGTTTAGTTGTAGTAATATGATCTATATATATATATATATGTATATAGTATATACATATATAACTATCCTACGAGTGTGCGCACACGCGCGTGCCATCGTAATATTTTATTATTATTATCATGATTTTTGCTCATCCGAGTCATTCCTTGTTATACCACCGTAAAGTCGCTCTTGTATAACAAAAATATCGTGACTGTGTCACAGCGGTCGTCGCCCGTCGGCGAGTTGGCGTTTTATTCAAGGGAATGCATTCTACTCGACTACCGATAATAACTGTTTCGAATCCAAAAAGCTCCGTGTCTTTGATTTTATTTCTATTTTTATCGCGCTGTCGGTCTAACAACACGTATAAGCATTAGGTAAAGGGTAATAATCATATAATATCTTTACGTGTCGTACCGTATTTCTTAAGAGCGAGCGATCGTTATCATACACGTAACACGTAGGTAACAACGCTGTACTTTTAGCGTTGACTTTCAACTTTCAACTTTCAATGTTGACCACTCGTTATTATTGCTTGCAAAAATTGACTGTTGGTAGTACATGTTATAATAAAAAAAAACGGTAATATTTGGGCAAAAAATAACGTGGTCGGAAAGTAAAATTTCGGGAAATATTTTTTCTGAATTATTTATCCGCATTGATTTGAAAATAAATTTTGTCAGTAAAGTATTTTACTAGGAAACGTATTTCATTTGAAAAGTATTTACTCAATAACGTATGCGTTTGGAAACTAAACCATTAATTAAATATTATTTTTAAATCGTATAATTTGAAACCTCTTTTGTCGAATATAAATATATGAAAATACGATTCCAAAAGTAACACGATTTAATAAAAATACGGTTTTAAACTAATTATTTTCTAACGCCCGTCTATAATACCATAACATACAAAAGTATTCAAACGCAACATAATCTGTTGATTGTTATAAATTATAATATATATATATATATATGTTGCTATAGCTTTTTATTAAAAATGTATACATGGTTTAAATCATATTATTATATGTTCTTATAATCATGGCAGGATTAATACATCTAGGTATTCAGGGGCCGACACTTGGTTGATACTTGTGGGCCCATATCAATGGAAAATAAATACAGTCAAATATATTATGCATATTTGCCAAGTATGGAGGTACTCGACGTATAAAACTATAGTGATTAATGATAAATAATCTATATATATAAAAATGAATGTATGTCAGTGTGTGTGTCTGTGTGTCCATGTTACCATGGTTACCAAGGTTGCCATGGTTACTAAGGTTACTAAGGTTTCATGGTTATTAAGGTTACCATGATCCATAGTTACCATGGTTACCAATGTTACCATGGTTACCAAAGGTACCATGGTTACCATGAGTGTTGTAGCTATTATATTCATAATTATAGGTCTTTAATGGACAACGAAGTGCATGGGATCAGATATTTTATATATATAGTCCGTGTGTGTCCACATTACCATGGCAACCTTTTATATTGTTTTATGTAAAACATATTATTCTTATAGAGTTGTCAATTTTAATGGGCAACGTGGTGCTCGGGATCAAATATTTTTATACATATAGACATGTTAGATCTCTGGGCAGAAGATAGGCTAATTTAAAAGGGGAGAGGACCAACACCGGGACGTGCTCAAACAGGGATTTTGAGATTTTGGTCACCGCGGGTTTCAAAGCTATAATTATAATAATAATTGGTTTAAAATTGCTGTTATGGTAACCGTTATATTATAAAATAAAACATTTTATTCATATAGAGTTGGTATTTTTAATGGGCAACGAAGTGCACGGGATCAGCTAGTAATATATAAAATCATTGGAAATATATAATTAGGTTGTCATTATTATACAACAATATGTATTGTCTGCTCGATGGCTAATTATTTGAGTAATTTAGTAGTATACTTTAATAACACCATGTTCGCCATGTATACAAAAAAAAATTGCGTTAAATCTTGCACAAAAAATACGAACACGTTGCCTTGGTGAATAATTGGTTTTTTTATTTAAGTGGTTTTTAACACAACAAGTAACATTAAAAATTATTAGTAAAAAATTCAAGAAAAACATGTGTAGTGTGGAAAAGTAAAAGTTTTTCGTTGTGATAACGTTCTTTCGCTATCACTCTTTTTTGCTATCACTAACGTGATAACGCAGTGTGTCCACCAAAGGCGCGCACATACTCCCGGCCTTGAACCCTGGGGTTAAAAATTCAAACTTCAAATTACAATAAATAACATAGATTACAGAATAATGTAAACAGTAACAATGAACATAATATAAAGAACTAATAATGCATATAAAGTATAATTTATTTTTGAGGCAGTGGACAAAGTTGTCGTATCGCTCGTCTCAGTGGCCCTTTGGTGGTTTGGACTTCAGCTACTCTGAGGACTCCATCTTGTCCTGGGAAGAGCTTAGAAACACGACCGAGTTTCCAACGTAGAGGAGGAGCATTTTTGTCTTCAATCAGCACCAGCTGTCCTTCAGTTAGCTGATTCGGTTGGTCCTTGCTCCACTTCGGACGTTGCTGGAGTGTTGCAATGTATTCATTGCTCCAACGTTGCCAAAATTGTTGGGACATCTTTTGAATTCTTTGCCACTGTGACAAACGGTTTTCAGAAATGAGTTGTAGATCTGGTTCTGCTGGTGCGGTTAGCGAGCGTCCAATTAAAAAGTGTCCTGGAGTAATAGGTTCTAGATCGGCAGGGTCATTGGACATCTGGCTAATCGGACGCGAATTCAGACAGGCTTCGATGAGCACTAACAGTGTCACCATTTCTTGATAAGTTAGGGACGAATTTCCTGCAATTCGCTTGAGGTGGTATTTAAAGGACTTGACTGACGCCTCCCACAAACCACCGAATTGCGGAGCCAGAGGTGGAATGAAATGCCATTCGATATTTCTCTGTGCAGCAAAGTCGTTCACTTCATGTTGGTGCTCTTTTGAATTAAATAGCGCCGTCAATTCTTTCAGTTCCTTGGAAGCTCCAACAAAGTTTCGACCATTGTCTGAATATAATTGACTAGGGTTTCCTCTTCTGCCGACGAATCTTTTGAGTACATTGAGGAATTCCGCTGTTGAGAGGTCTAGAGCAAGCTCTATGTGAACGGCCTTTGTAGCCATACATACAAAGATGGCAACGTACGTTTTTGCGACTGATGAATTCCTGCGTCGACTAGTTCTTAAGAAGAATGGTCCGCAGTAGTCTACGCCAGTTTTTGCAAAGACTTGTGTCTGTTCTGTGCGGCATTTCGGTAATTGGCCCATGATAGGGGTCACAGATTGGGGTTTGACCTTGTAACAAGGCACACATGAGTGAACAATTTTTTTTGATAGTGCTCTGGCACCTAAGGGCCAGTATGTACGACGGATTGACGATAGTAGTAGTTGAGGGCCACAATGTAGGAGTGCCAGGTGAGTATAAGTAAAGAGCAAGCTGGTAAATTGACATTTTGGTAAAATTATTGGGTGTTGTTGGCCGTAAGCGAAGGATGAGTTCTGCAATCGTCCGCCCACTCTCAGAAGTCCTACGTCGTCTATGAATGGATTGAGCTGGCGTAATTTGCTTTTTTTGCTTACGTTTCCTTTCGTGATAATCCGGTGAATGTCATCTTTAAACCTTTCTTGCTGGCAGTCAATGATCAGTTTGGACGTTGCAGTTCGGTACTCAACTGTTGTTAATGACGTTGTGACTCGGTCACTCTTCTTTACTTTAGCGTTGGCTGAGAATCTTAAACAATAGGCTATGACTCTAATAAGTTTAGTGAAGCTGGAGTAGCGTTCGTACGGAATGGATGATCCTTCATCATCGATGGCAACGAAATTTGCGTTTTCCTTAACCTTCCTTTTTTCTAAGACAGTTTCATTTTTTATCATGGTAGTCATGCAAGGCCATTCATCATTTTCTAACCACCTTGGTCCATGCCACCACAGGCTAGAATGTAAGAGTTCTTTGGCTGATTTACCTCTGGACACGATGTCAGCTGGGTTGTCCTCTGACGACACGTGATTCCATGATGCAGGATTGGTGTATTCTTGTACTTCAGCAACCCTGTTGGCAACGTATGTTTTCCAATGAGAAGACGGAGATTCCAACCAAGCTATGACGATTGTCGAATCAGTCCAAAAATATGATTTTTGTATACTAGTGAGCGCCGACTTCACCTTGTGGTACAGACGCGCTAGCAAAACCGCTGCACACAGTTCAAGGCGTGGCAGAGTTGTTGTCTTTTCTGGTGCTATTCTAGATTTGGAAATTAATAAGTGAGTTACATACTGATTGTTCTTTCTTGACCTTAAGTATATGCAGGCTCCATAAGCAGCTTCAGAAGCGTCGGAAAATCCGTGTAACTGAATTTCGTCAGTGATCGAATTTGCTTCAGATACTAATCGGGGAATTGTCAATGCGTTGAGTTCCATTAAGTCTTCTCTTGCTCTCTTCCACTTGGCACTGATTTCTGGAGGTGCTTCATCGTCCCAGTCAACTTTCATTTTCCATAAATCCTTGATTATGATTTTGAATTGCACGCTTGTTGGAGAGATGAGACCTAGTGGATCGAACACCCTTGCTAAGTCAGATAAGACATTTCTTTTAGTACATTTTAAAGCTAGATTTAAATTCTGAATTATATAGAAGAATATATCACTCTTAGGTCGCCAAGACATTCCCAAAGTTTTCAATGATGCTTCCGTGGACCCAGTATCCCTAAAATTTACAACATCTTCCGTAGGCAGGTCTGAGAGTACTTGACTGCAATTTGATGCCCATTTTCTTAATCGGAGACCAACTGATGACAATGATTTAATAAGTTGATCACGGAGTTGAATAGCGTTTTCTACTGTGTCTACTCCCGTCATTAAATCATCTACGTAAAAATCTTGTGCTATGACGCTTGATGCTTCAGGAGCTGTTTCCTTTATTTGCATTGCCAATGTGTTTAGTGTGTTGGTCGCTAAGAATGGAGCAGCTGCTGTTCCGTACGTTACTGTGGTTAGTCGAAAAACATTTAGAGGAGAACTTGGGTTGTCCCGCCAGTGAATTAGTTGAAGCCAGCTGTCTTCTTCAGCTATCCGTATTTGCCTGTACATTTTTTCAATGTCAGCACAGAGCGCAATTTTCTTAGTTCGAAATCGGATCATTATGTTAATCAAGTCATCTTGCACAGTCGGTCCGACATGTAAAATATCATTTAGTGATTTTCCTGATGTTGTTCTAGCTGATGCGTCGAACACGACGCGTAATTTTGTGGTTGAACTGTTTTCTCTTATGACAGCATGGTGAGGTAAGTAGTAGACATTCTGTTTCATCTCTAACTCATGGTATTTTACCGCTTCCATGTGTCCAAGTGCTAAGTATTCGTTCATGAATTCAGAATAAGAATTCTTTAGAGAAGCGTTTCTTGAAAGACGTTTTTCTAACCCAAAGAATCTATGTAGCGCCATTTGCTTAGATTCGCCTAGTTCTGATGCATTGAGTTTACGAGGTAATGATACCACGAAACGACCAGACGTATCTTGTGTGGTTGTCTGGTTGAACCAGTTCAGACATTCTTTTTCTGTTGATGATAGGGCATTCTCACATTTGCCTAAATCATCAATTTGCCAAAATCTTTCAACTAATGACTTGAGATCATCTGTTTTTTCGAAGTAGCATGTAGTTTGAAAGCAGTTTTCACTGGACGTATGTGACACATTCCTACCACCAGATATTATCCAGCCCAACACAGTGTTTTGCACAACTGGTACTTCAAGAGTAGACTTTATTTGTCCTTCCACCATTAAGTGGAAGAACCACTCGGCCCCAAGCAACATATCAATTTTGCTTGGAACATTGAAATTGGGATCTGCCAATTCTATATTTTTTGGCACTTTCCATGATCCTAAATTTATTTTAGTCATGGGCAGATCATTGGTAAGTTTTTTCATTATCAAACAGTGAACCTCTGCTGAGAAATCTGAATTGCATGACTTTATAATGCAATTCAGGCTTGAGCGAGCTACCGACGTTTCTTGTCCCATTCCTGAGATTGTTGCATTCAGATTGATTCTTGGTAAACCGAGGAGTTGAGCTGCATGTTCGGTTATAAAGTTGGATTGTGCTCCGGGATCAAGTAACGCGCGGATTGGTTGATATGATCCTCTTTGATCACGAGCTAATATTAACGCGGTTGATAGCATTGCAGTTTTCCTAGGTTGTTGACCAGTTGGTCTGGTAGTCATAACTATAACAGTGTTAGCTGACTCTTTTGGGACTCCATTCTGACTTACTGTTGAATCGGTCGTGATTGGAACATTATCAGGATGGAGCAAAGTGTTGTGTTTCGCGTTACATTTCTTGCAGCCAGGATATTTGCAAGAATCCTTTTTGTGGCCTTCTGAGAGACAACACACACAAAGGTTTAACTCCTTTGCCTTGTTTATTCGTTCTTGTGAGTTGAGTTGTTTGAACTTGAAACATAAGAATATTGGATGACCCTTTTTGCACATTTTACAACTTTTGTTGTCGGTAGCTATGTGAGCAGTAGAGTAAATTGTTTGCTTTCCTTCCTTCTTATGTTTTATGTTATTCGATTTTGCTGTTAATTTGGGAGCATTATGTTGTACTGCTTGAACTGATTCTCTTGCTCGACAGTGGGTACTCATGAATTCTAATATTTCCTTTTTTGTTGGCAATTCATTAGTAGTTTCTGAGCGTTCCCATCTTTCGAGAGTTTCAGAATCTAGTTTTGACGTCAGCAGTCCTATTATGATTGGGTCCCAAGTTGACGTGTCTACTCCAAGTACACTGAGAGCATTAATTTGCATTTCAACTGTGTTGATGGCCTGTCTCAGTGAATTTGAGTCTTTTTTGTCCGCAGATTGAACCGACAAGAGTACATTTATTCTATCCCGAACTATGGCACGTTTGTCTGAGAACCTTTTTTCCAACAATTGCCAAGCTATTTGGTAGTTTCCTTCGGACAACGTCAATGCGTCGATTACTTGCATTGCTTCTCCCTTTACAGCAGCCTTGAGATATTGGAACCTTTCTACGTTACTTATGTGCGGATGTTGGTCAATTGATGATTTCCACGTATCTGAGAAGCTTGTCCATTCAAGATAGTTTCCAGTGAATTCTGGCAGTTGTAACAGAGGGAGTTTAACATGGGTGTTATTTGTGTGGTTGCTTCCTACACAGGCAACTACATTCTCCCTTTTTAATACCTGTTCATCCGCTTGCCCAAGGAGGGCATAAAAATAATCTTCAAATGCAGCGCGCTCAGCTTGTTCAACATCAGTGTCTTCGAGATCTTCAATTGCACTTTGAACTATTTCAAATTCATTGAAGATGTCGTCAACCTTTCCTAAACGACGCTTAATTTCAGTTACAGTAGTTTGGTTTGATAACAAATAGGTTTTGAAGCGGGTTAATTTTGCCTTAATGCGACCGCGTTCTGTATGCAGTTTTTTCAATTCCTCCGACATAATATGGAATTTGTTATGAATTAGCTGGTATTTAATCAAATATAATAATATCTAAAGTGTATGTGACAAATAATGTTTGATAACTGACTAAATAAATAAATTAATATAAATTTGTTTCAATTTCACTATAGTTTATTATATTATTTAATAATTAATCCAAATAATAGTAGTGATCAATGGGTAATTATAATAATTAATACTTTGTCGACATAAACAATTGATTGAGTGTTTTAGAGAAAACTGTTCTTTTAATAATTATGAAAGTGAAGATGAACAATATTATTTGAATAAGTTAGCACATCAGTAGTATTGATCAAATATAATATACCTTATATAATTATTACTATTATTCTTGGTAGATTAAACTTCAATAATTATTGGTTTATAGAATTATAGCTGACACTTTCTTATGCTCAGATATAAGTATTTGGTACTATTCGTTCCGTTGAGCCGGTTCACCTTTAACTAAGAACTTACTCTCTATCAGAGGTTCTGGTTAAGATAGTGAATGACGACGATGTAGTGATATAGCTTAAACTTATAGCTGATGCACAACTTGTTTGCTGCTTTGAGTGTAAATCTAATTTAGCATACTTTACCTTCAACCTAACATAATATAAACTAGCACATAAACAACAAAAAATAATAATAGTTTAAGAATTAAGAAATAAATGCTGGAACTGAATATAGTAATAATATTAGGTAGTAATAGTACTCAGCACTTTAATAAACGGATTGTGAATTCAATTGAAGATAAATTTATTGATAATTAATAACTTCTGTGATAAGTTGAGTCTATTCGGTATACGATCAACAATGAACGCGTAGTGAGTATGCTAGCGTAGTGATTTTGATGATATTACCGACTGTATTTTTTTTATAAGACGTTTAGTATAGTATCAGACAAACATAATACAGGAAAATAAACATTCAGACTTACGAATTCTGTGAAATTTGTTGTCGATTGTAGTACTTATATCCTTCATAATGTGTAGGCGAGTATGAACGCAGTAAAACAGTTTTTTCGTTCGAGCACAACACTACGTATTAATTTGCTGAATATCTAAAGGTCCCTGGTTTCGGCACCATAAAATGTTGCGTTAAATCTTGCACAAAAAATACGAACACGTTGCCTTGGTGAATAATTGGTTTTTTTATTTAAGTGGTTTTTAACACAACAAGTAACATTAAAAATTATTAGTAAAAAATTCAAGAAAAACATGTGTAGTGTGGAAAAGTAAAAGTTTTTCGTTGTGATAACGTTCTTTCGCTATCACTCTTTTTTGCTATCACTAACGTGATAACGCAGTGTGTCCACCAAAGGCGCGCACAATATATATATATATGTTGCTATAGCTTTTTATTAAAAATGTATACATGGTTTAAATCATATTATTATATGTTCTTATAATCATGGCAGGATTAATACATCTAGGTATTCAGGGGCCGACACTTGGTTGATACTTGTGGGCCCATATCAATGGAAAATAAATACAGTCAAATATATTATGCATATTTGCCAAGTATGGAGGTACTCGACGTATAAAACTATAGTGATTAATGATAAATAATCTATATATATAAAAATGAATGTATGTCAGTGTGTGTGTCTGTGTGTCCATGTTACCATGGTTACCAAGGTTGCCATGGTTACTAAGGTTACTAAGGTTTCATGGTTATTAAGGTTACCATGATCCATAGTTACCATGGTTACCAATGTTACCATGGTTACCAAAGGTACCATGGTTACCATGAGTGTTGTAGCTATTATATTCATAATTATAGGTCTTTAATGGACAACGAAGTGCATGGGATCAGATATTTTATATATATAGTCCGTGTGTGTCCACATTACCATGGCAACCTTTTATATTGTTTTATGTAAAACATATTATTCTTATAGAGTTGTCAATTTTAATGGGCAACGTGGTGCTCGGGATCAAATATTTTTATACATATAGACATGTTAGATCTCTGGGCAGAAGATAGGCTAATTTAAAAGGGGAGAGGACCAACACCGGGACGTGCTCAAACAGGGATTTTGAGATTTTGGTCACCGCGGGTTTCAAAGCTATAATTATAATAATAATTGGTTTAAAATTGCTGTTATGGTAACCGTTATATTATAAAATAAAACATTTTATTCATATAGAGTTGGTATTTTTAATGGGCAACGAAGTGCACGGGATCAGCTAGTAATATATAAAATCATTGGAAATATATAATTAGGTTGTCATTATTATACAACAATATGTATTGTCTGCTCGATGGCTAATTATTTGAGTAATTTAGTAGTATACTTTAATAACACCATGTTCGCCATGTATACAATATAATTTTATAATAATAATATGTTGGAAAGTTTGATATACATTATACACACACGATACACTCACACACGTATGATCACGCATAACATCAAAAGCGTTATTCCAGTTCGGAGACTTCGCCGGTGTGCTTGGAGGGTAAACCCTTATGGTGTCGACATCGAATAATTTATGTGGTGGTGGTTCGAGTACGATAATTTGGTCAGTTGTGCGCGCAACCGCGCTCGTCATGTGCATAATATTATCGTAATAATATTATGATGTACAAAATAAGGCGTGCAGAAGGGTGGTGTCGAACGGGATAAGTCGTTTATATCGTAAATATTTAGAATATTTCCACGTAATATGGGCTATTGGCGGACCACAAAGAATAATATATATATATGAAAAACTGCAGCATTATAAATATAACCGCTTCTTTGGACCAAGGTCCTCTCGAGAAGCTCTCCTCCACGGCGTGCCTTAATCCAAACGCCTTCATATTGTATACACATACATTGCACACATAAAGACATAATATTATACTATATTATACTGCAGAGACTTAACTGCGGTTTTATATAGAACGTCCTTGGGTGTTTTTTTTAATATATATTCTTTATTGGCACAGCGGTCAATTATTGTGCGCCGGACCGTGTAATTCTTTTCACTGTACGAGGAAATCGTGACTTGGCCACTTCGGGCCAACTTCGGTTTTCGTTTTACTGTAGATTATTTAACGTGGTATATCATATGACGCATAATTGTATAAAATTATAAATGCATAAGGAAACTAGCAGAACCGATATTTTAATATACTATACAATATAGGCAGTTGCTCTATCGTTTAAAGTTTGCATCGCAAACACTATATATACGCTACCGTTATATAATATTATGTAGGTACCTAAAAATGCATTACAACTGTAGACGTCAAAATTATTTTTGTCTTCTGCTCTCGCGGTGTAGTAACTATATATTATAATTTATTATACACCATTACAGTTGCGGATTTGAGGGGGGCGACGTCGCGATCATTTTTTTAATTGAATTATAGAGCAGTATGATATAATGAATATGAAATTCATAAGTCATAACCATAACTTCAAACTTAATAAAAGATACAAAAAAGTTATTTTTTTTTAATATCTTATCAATCATATTGTTATTTGATTATCAATACAAATTATCAAATTTAAACAACACGATTATGTTCAAAACAAATTTGAAATTGGTTATAACTTATAACCATAGATAATAAAAGAATATTTTCTTGGTTATAACCAAAATTGCTGTGTTAGACTACTTGCTACAGTTATAGTTTTAGATTATAGATAGGATGACAGATAAAATCATTTTACCGCCAAGCAGTGCTGTAGCGTGCTGCACCGCCGTATAAATCTGTTGGGGAACGGAAAAAAAGTCTCGGGGAAAAATAGTTCATAAATTTATTAAAATAATTTTTTTCTATTCTGGCATCTAACTTAGTGATGTATAGATATGTATATATTTTTAATAATATTATTGACTAACATTCAATGAGATATTTTTTTATTATTTTTGATCTGTTTTGTATATTTTATTAAAATGATTTTTAAAAGTTATAGCGATAATAATTTATAGAACTAGGATTTATATAATTATGTAATGTAATGTAATTTTCTGTTTTGTATTTAGTAGTTACCTATTAAATGATTACATAATTATTTGATATTATCTTTAGAAAACAGAACTTTTTCTGGATTCTTTTTTCCCGGGACTTTTTTCCCCAAGACTTTTTTTCCTACCATCAAATCTGTTATCATTTCATTTTTATGAAATAAATTAAATATTTTGTTCACTGTGACTGTGGTAAATAACTCAATTTTCATATTGAGTGCTGAATACTTTATTTTCATTGTTCATTGGCTGGTAAAAAAAGAACCATACAATTGTTGCTCAAATAAATACATTGATTTATTTAATATTGAATAAATGACTGTTAAATTTTTACATGGTTTTATTTTTTTTATATATATATATATATATATATAACAGAGGTTTATTGACTAATATGTATATATTGAAATTCTATGATACCAATTCGCCCCCTCCTTAAATGAGCTTCAGATCCGCTACTGCACCATTATATTATTATATGTATTAAAATAAAACCCAACTATTATGTCCAACACACTGAACAAAACGGTAAGTCAAACGCTTCGTATCGCCTAATGTCGACGGACACGACGTCGTCTATCGCTCTCGGTGGTACAAAATATAATACATAATATAATCGTTTTGTTTTCGGCGTCGAGGGAGCGTTGTTATAGAACTAATGGGACTTTATATTTTGCATTCGACTATACGGTTTTCGTAATTATATAATATAATGTGTGTGTTTATATATAATAATATATAAGACGCGTATAAGCTCGTACATCCCTCGTATTATATTATATTATATTGCGTCTTCGCGGTCGAAAAGAATGACGTGCCGAATTTATGAATGGGCGTCACCCGCACCCCCAAAAACCGTTTTGCTCTTTAAAACGACTCCTCACGTTTCGAGGTGTAAAACCACGATTTCAACCCTCTTTCTTTTTTTTCTTTTCTTTGAAAGACCGTATAATTTTTTAATATATATAAAGTAGAGAGAGGTGTCCCGCGCTTAAGTCTTTTTTTTTCCTATATTTTCGTGAAAGGGAGAAACGT